TCTAGTGAAAACCATTTAAAAATCGTCTTCCTTTCGGCAGATTTTATTATTATTTTTATTTATTTATTTGAAAGCGTTTTCCATCAAAAAAATCTTCCGTTTCTAGTCAACGATTCCAATTCTAATCCCCCTTTTACATCAGTTCTTCAAGAATTTGTTTCTTAATTGTTCTTCTCTCATTCTACTTCAATCGGTGACGCAATTGTCTCCGTTTTCCATTATTTAGTTAACAGTTTGTCGAATATCTCTCACGAAAACACCAAGTTCCGTTTCTGTAATTTTTGCTTCTGCAGCTGGAGCAGAAAATTTTCAAATTTTAGTTCTGCAATTTGAATAAATTTGCTTATTATTAGTAACTAAGGATGCTTATTATTATTTGATTTAATATTTATTTTGGTTGTCTTGAATGCTGTTGCATAAGATTGTCACTCATGCAGGATGTGACAATCTCAAAAAGAAAAATTTCAAAATCTAAAATAAATGATAAAAAATTTAACAGCCGCCCAACCGGGAGCATATTTCACAAGTGCACATCAGCGCAGCCACTGAGGGAGGGGTTTCGAAAATGGACCAATGAGCTGCTATTGCTCTTGTGACGCTAAATCTTCGTGCATGTGAGCGTATGTTGTTTATGTTTCACAGTTATAAATATATGGCGTAATAGTAGAAATCTGGTATTGCTTTCGTTTTCTCAGTTTAATTAATCGCTGACATTTCACTTTCAAGATTTTTATCACGCATTAATATTTGGATTGATGTTCACGGCGTATTATGTGGGTTAAGAGAATTCAAGTGTATATTTTTTTAAACTGAGATGAGAATGACTGAAATTGTTACAATGAATATAGTGTTTTCTTATTTCAGTGCTTGCATTCTTTTGATTTTTAAAGTTTAAAATTCAGAATACATATGATCTGATTATATTCATTGTTAAAATTAAAAGTTATATGTGAATAAATTAAATATACTCGTTGTGAATAAGATAAATTCACTCTGCTTGATGAGTATTTCTTTTGTAGACAGTGCACTTAAGAGTGAGCAGTTATTGAATGTGAAATTTAACACACTAAATGCATACGAATACAAATTAGTAAATTTCACTTTGAATAAAATTCTGCATTGGTTATTATTATAGAACATCTTTTTCATATAAATTGCAATAAAAAGTGCTGACTTCTACTTACATATATATAATTGGTGTAAATATTTTTCTGATACGCATACTTTTATGTAAAGATTGCATTTGCGCTCAGATGTTTATCACATATTTATTTCTTTATCTTATTTACCATTTATTAAGTAATATTTCACATCGATATTTTTGCGAAGTATCCAACATGTATTTGTATTTATTTCAAACAGGTAGTGAAATCTTCATAATCGCCTATATTTGAAAAGTTTCAGATGCAATCGACGATGCTTTAATTATTTTTTACAGAAAATTGCGTCGCAGAATGTTTTCAACTATCTTGCTTAAATCTTAAGGCACGCGAAAGGTCATGTGACATGGCAGAAATATTATTGGATGCTCATTAGTCCATCTTAGAAGCCACTCCCTCGGTGGCTACACTGATGTGCATTTGTGAAATATGCCAACCTCCTCTAATTGCCGCACCGAAGGACCCGGGTTCAAGTCCGGAGAAGAAATGGATGTATCGTGTATAGTAGCGGTTCTCAATTTTTAATAAAAATTTCATTAAAGTTTTGCAAAACTTGAAATAGATAATAAAACAAATTCGAAATTCAAAATTCCAGCTTTAAGTTCACTAGCCACTTTTTCGTTTAATAATGTTAAAACGATATCTTTAGCTGCTGGTCCTATAAGGATTTCTCCAATAGTGTGACCTGCCCAGTCTTAGCAATTCTTAGGCTTATGAGGTAACTAGCTTCCAAAGCTTTTTCACTTGAAAAAAAAAAAAGACCTTTCATTAATTATCTAATATTTTTGAGCTCCGATAATTTCCTCTTAAATCATTCTTCAGATTTAGCCTTTAAATTGACATGCTTAGATTCATATGTCTTTTAAGAAACGGTGGTTTTCATATTTTGATTGATTAATACATCATCGCAAACAACACATTGAGGTTGAGGGTCCATTTTATTTCCATTTCAAGTAAATCCAAATGATAAATAACTTTTATTATATTTTCTAGAAACAATTTTGCTTTTCTTTTCAGTATTATTACTGCTAGTAGATAGTCCCGGATCCATCGCCTGTGAATCATCGCTTTTTCGCCAAGTCAAATCCTAGCCATTTTTCCATTTTGAAATTCTAGGTTTGTTTTATTATTTTTTCACAAATATTTAAATGCACAATTTATTACGAGTTCTTAAAAATCAAGCGACGGTATTCTCAGATCGTGTAGAAAAGTAAGGAACACAAAGTAACAAGAAGACAAAATGCATGTTGATAGAGACAGCAAACCTACGTAAAAAAAAATGATTCTCACTGAAAATGGAGCACTATGAGCCCGGAAATGGCGACAAAATGTGACGTCATGCTAATAAATCGATAAACTCTAAGAGAATTAATGAGATACTATTATCTTTTTTATAGGAATTATTAAACTACTATTACTTTCCTATTAAATACAGCATTCATTTCTATCACTTCTTTTAAAAACATCATTTATGGGAAATTTTGTTATGTCCACAGCTAAAAAAATATTTGTGAAACTTACAACATAGAAGATGGGTTTAAAGAACACGTTATTCGATCCCATATAGTTGGACAGAAGGCCACACTTGGGCTTACATAAGCCAGAACTTCTAGCTTAACTCAAACAGATAATGTTGAACTTAAAATAAAATGTAATTAAACTAGCTTAACGGCTCAAATGATAATTTAAACGCGCAGGAAGTCTCTGACTCGTAAAAGCCGGCAGAAACAAGCTTAATGGCCAGAAGCCCTCAACGCCACAGAATCAAATCGCTGGTAAGTCAAAGTAATAACATGGTCTTCAAGCAGGCATAGCACGCTCTAAAAGCACCTTCCGAAACCTTCGCTTAAATAGCACTTCTTTCTGTTATAATCTGAATAAACGCGCTCTAACTGATAAGCATTCAGGCAGGAAAGCGTGGGTGAAAAGGATGTGAAATGAAAGTTGCTTTAACTAAAAATTAAATACCAGTCAAAACAAATGAATCTCTGCAACTCAGTGCGGTATTTAAAAGGGAGAGAGATGTTGAGACTTTGTCATGATTTTGGACATGGACTAAAAAGATCGCTTCTAAAGTTTCATGTCTGCAAATCCAATAAACTAAATTTTCTTTATTTCTATTTTGAATTCCATATTGGTAATTACTAATTTTTGGTAATCAATTTAATTGATATTACTAATTATTTTTTCTTTTAGTTCCAATATCGTCTAAAACATGCATATCAATAAATCTAACAAGTGAAAATAATAGTTAATATTGTGATAGAATTACAAAAATAATGAAACTAAATATTTCGAGACTTATACTAGATGTATAAGTCACATCTTCACTCGAACAACGTGGCAGCGAAGACTAACGTATTCACAGAGAAATTGCCCAACTTTTCTTAACGACTCAACCCCCATATAAAACACTGCGGGAGGGGAATGCACTCTCCCATTTCGTAAGAATTGGAAGAATTTTGTAAAAGGCGGAAAGAGGAATTTTAACATCGGCCTGTCTTGAATTACAATTTTCCAAAAACACCACGTAAATTTGTTGACATTTTTTGTCCAGACAAAATCAAACATATGTCTTACATACAACTATGTTGACTAGTGCATTATTTGTCAACATAGTTGCCAACTATGTTGCCAAGTACTTCGGCTACTACTAGGTGGGTAGTAGAGTACTGGCCAATTGGCTAGCCAACTATGCTGATAAGCGTTACACACAAGGGCACTTGCTTATAATTTACTTACACCTCATTAATCTTTGAAACTTTTCAAATGTATTTCCGGATAGAGAGAGTATATTTAATTCAAATAACTTGTAAATAGCTATTATACTAAAACATATATTATAATATTCGTATATTATTTCATTTTTGCTTTCATTCTTGAATATCTCATGAATTCAAACATTTTACAATTTTACACTGAATTTTGAATAACCACCACTATTGAAAACAAAATTAATAAACAGAGAAACTAATTATTCCACTAAGCTTCAATAAAAATAGTCATCATGCTGTATATTTCTTTACTAAAACCCCGTTTTTCTCGTTACTACACGACAAAACCTGAAGAAATCGATACCGTTAGAAAGGCATTTTTATTTGTTTCCGACGAATATTAATTATTTCACATAAGAATGTCTTGTTTGATAACTAAAGACTGAAAATTAAATTTAAAAAAGTTGATTTATGGAGTCGTTCGGTACTTTTTCGGTGTAGGAAACACGAAAAATCAGCTGTGTCTTCCCGAAATTCCCGATTCTGATTGCTAGCCGGTCGGGATTTCGAATTGCACCTCGGATGCCCACAGTAAAGAAGGAAAAAAAATTCTTTATATTCTCCCATACTTAAAAGGAAGCTGAAGAGGAGGAAATTAAGTCGCTAAAGCTTCGTGGTGCCTAATTATCTTTGACTATCCCATTTTTGTTCCAACTCGTAGAATTTAATAAGCATTTTGAAACAAATACGAAAAACAATCAGTGCTTTGCCTGGAAATCGAACTCCGGATATCCCGATTGCTAGTCGGGTGTGCTTTCCAATTACACCACAAAAGAAGGGGGAAATTCCTTGTAAATTCACAGAATAATTTCAATTAAATTTTGAGTTTTATTAAAGTTATGCCTCCAGATGTTAGGTTTAAGATAAGATCAAATATAGAGGAAGAAAACTGAATGAAAATTAATACTTTATTTATGAAAACGAAAATTAGTACTTCCTTTATTAACTACTCTGCTAAATAATTCACTTTATGTGCAACCTGAAAAAAGAATGCTTAATTAAAAAAAGCTGAAATCTCAAATTACCAATATTTTATAATTAACGTATACATTTTTTTTTGGTACAGGACTAAAATGCAGCAGAACCAGTACGACGAAGAGGAGGAGGAATTGGAAGAAATCGACATAGATTCGATAGAAGATGAACAGACTCTTATTCAGCTTGTAAGTACTCAAAATTACCAATAATATGCATTACTATCAACTAGTTTCGGAAACGATGTATGAAAGACTTCATTAAAATCCTTTTAGACGAGGCTTGGATAAAAAATGGTGGCAACATGTCGGTTGTTCCAAAAAGACTTATTAAAACACTAAAAGGTATAAACACTAAAATTCTCTTAATATAATCGCCTGCTGTGTCTATCACCATTAGCTTTATTTTCTGCCCCTAATACATGAACTTTCAACTTCTAAATTCCTGCTCGTGTTTGGACCTTCGACTTGCCTTTTCCCACCCATCAATCTACTGACTTTGGTCATGAACTTTTTTTCGCTTCTGCGGGCGGTTGGTGCAAAGGAGCACCATATTTTCTTCAAAGCAAAGTAAAAGGTCTTTGGTACAATCTTAATGATATGGCAAATACTCTTTTGTAGTAGTCACCAGAAGTGCAAAGTCATGATTCTGATTCTGATTCACCATTAGCCAAATTACTAGACGGTATCAGACATCACCAGCACATCCACTTCTGTTGATGTCCCTTAGCGATGCCCTAAAGAATGAATAAGCTTTCCTCTACTGTTGTTGGCAAAGAGATCATAGTCACTCGAATTCATATCTAGTTAGTATGGCGGATGTCTGAGTACTTGATTCACTTGGCGGATATTTGAGATGTCGCAGAAGATCTGTGACAGCCTCGCACTATGACAACACGTATTGTCATGGAGAATTCGTCACTGACAAGTGCTGTAATTTTCTCCTAGATACTGGACGCACACACCGACTCAAATGCCATATCCTCCTTAGCAATGTGTGGTGTCATAATGCCAGCGCTGTCACGGATCTTCAGCAATGGTGGCGATGGAAGGTACTGGAATTCAGACCAAGCTTACCTGATATGAATCGGTGTGACTGTGATCTCTTCGGCAGTATGAAAAAACCATTGCGAAGGATCCATTACAATACTACAGTAGAGAAAAGGTTAATTAATATGGGCGGTGGCTGTAGAGCATCAACAGATATACACATGCTGATGATATATTATTTTTTCCAATAATTTTTCAGAAGAAGATACACATGGCAGGCGATTATAGTGATCGATTGTAAAAGTTTGTATCAGTGGGTATAATATCTTTTCAGAACTATCGATATGTTGCCACTTTTTTGTGTTCATCCCTTGTAATTACTCATACAACCATCTGAATGCTTATCTCGCTAGTATTTAGCAAAAGCTACCTTCTCAATATATTAAAAAAAATTGCTTTACATAAAAATGCACATTTCATTTTTATGTAACAAATTATACACGTATAAGTTACTAAATTAAAAAAATAGTTACTGCAGTTGGGTCGAAAGCTACAGAATACAAGGTGTTAAAAAGATTAAATCTTAAATATCCCTTTATTTAATTGTATATTCATAGTTCTGATTTATAGCAAACAAAAGCTTTTGTCATGCAGTACCACTAAGTGAGAAGGAGGGGGATTTTTTGGTGAAGTTTTACAATCCATGAAAGAAATTGTTTTGAATATCCGAGTAAATGATGGCTTAAGAATGATAGTGTGGATAAGGCCATTGAACACAGGAAGTTCACCCGGCTTCGGGTTCCGGGCCTGGTTGTAAGAGCTTTTCGCGATTATCTATCACGTGTGATATGATTAGTAACCAGAATCCTTCAGAAAGGGCCCACAATTGTCGTATGATTAAGAACGTTGCCCACTGGTTCTTTTGACGTAGTAAATAGGCTGGCTGCATGGGTGCTTTGGTGGCTTTCTTTACATGCAACTTGAATGATAATAGCCACTCTGGCGGATACTCTTTAAGTTATTTTCTGATTTTGGTTACGGAAACAGTAACTCAGATAGGTTCTCCGAGGTTCAGTACTCGACATTCCATCATCCAGTATTGGCAATTACCAATTATTTAACTCTTATTCAAATTAACGAAGATAAAAACATTAGTAGGACCGATATGATTAGAGGAATTATTCAATAAAAGTTCCAAGGAGTAACTAAGGAAAAATATTGCTAAAAGTAACAACACAAGCAAATTTATAAATGATATAGTGAACTTATCATAGTGAATGTGAATATATAAATGGATATGTGAATATATAAATATAGATTTCAAACTTCTATGGTGAAAATTATGGGCCTACTTACCCATTTGCTTCCATCCCCTCTCACGTTATTTTTTTTCGCCCCCTTCCTTAGGATGTCACTGATACGCTACTAATAAATTCTCGAAAATTTTTCAATCTCTGTTTTTGTTTCTAATTATCTACATTTATTTATATTTAATCTTTTATAATTTTTAAAAGCATTTTATGCTGCAGTACCTCCAGATAAAAATAACATATATAATATAAATAAGGTAAATTATAGCTTAAGACAATATAAATTATTGATGTTAAATTTTTTTTTAAAAAAAAAATCTAAAAACTTTCACATTTTATATTACGCCCAAACAAAGGTTTTTTTCATTTGCAGACACATACACGTTTCGAGAGCATTTGAGCTAACGCCATATTGGGCTAAAAATGTTTAGAAACAGTATAGCTTTAGAATTTCCAATAGACAGTCTCGTGCGCTGGACATAAAAATGTTTGATTCCCCAAAAATTCGGGCTTCCAGGTGTTCATGTTCGGGTGGAGAACCATTTTATTCAACATTGGATGACTCTAGGTACCGTTGTTTTCTCGCAGTGCGAGAAGCACACATACATTCATGCAGATTCTTCATTATTTAATTTCCTTAAATATGATAAAGGACGATAATATTTGGTGGCAACAATCTAAAAGGTGATACAGCCGTTTATAGTGATTCGACGAAAAATGCCATTTCGAGACTTAAGCTTCGTTCAGACGAGGGCGTAAAGGGCATAAGTGGTTAAAACCGAGCTCCGTTGCCAAGGCAACCAGTCTGTGCTACGTCACAAAATCTGGTTTAGTGCTCGGGGCATAGGGTTCAAAGTTTTTAACTTTACGCCAAGTTTGGGATAAGCGTCGACCAATCAGAGCGAAGCTAACACGAAGCGGCGTTCTACAGATTTCGCTGTCACAAAACAAGCAGAGTGAACGCGGGAAATCAATCGAGCAGGAGAACAGCGCGGGAAAGTTGTAGATACATCCACGCATGGGCAAATCAGCTTCTCCTATTGGCCACAGCTTATACACCGTTCTCACAAGTGTGAACGGAATTCTGTATTTTATGCCCTTATGACTACGCCTCTATGCCCTTTACACCGCCGTCTGAACGCAGCCTAATAGGCCTTCTAGGCTAACGCCCAATTGGGCTAAAAATATTAAATAAACAACATTGTGCACTAAAAATTGTATTTCACTCTGAAATAGAGCGTAACAGCCTTTGGCTAAGAATGAAAATTTGCTGTTAAGTGTTTAAATCAAAATTATATCGACTGGACAAAATTAAATATATGCAAAATTAATTGGTGCAGATTTCGTTTTCGTATCATATATATATATATATTCTTATATGCTTAAAAGAATAAGTTTTCATTCTTTGTTCAGCAGTAGAATTTTAATCACCATTTCTGATTGTAATTTCATAAGATACTTTGTAAATAAAGTTGAAAACATGTTGTTTTGATTTTTGCAGCTTGATGAAGCTGAAGATTTCGACGATAGGAAGAGGATACGAGACCGGTTAATGAAAGTGCAACACGAGATTAAAGGTAAATTTTTCTTCCGGAAATATTCATTCCATGCTTAACAGATGACAACAGAAAATAGCAGCAGGAATTCTTATTCAGTCTGCAAACAAACTAATTTCGAAATTCTGCCATAATTTATGCATGTATTATTCTTTCTGAAGTTCCTATTCGAAGCACAGACACGGTGATTTTCTGTTCATGTTTCAAAAATAGTATTTATGCAAACCTAACGCATTTTACGACATGATCTTCTTAATTACAATTCATTAGTTGCTCTTATATTTTACAAGTCCCCTGTCTCCCTGTCCATATGCAGGCCCCGTTATATTCTTTTTGATTTTTTTAAAAAAAATTAATTCAAACATATTTCTTTAAGGCCATGGTCAAAAAGACTGATTTGTATTTATAATTAATTAATACTTGAAATCATAAGATATAATGATAAAAATATTCTCGAATGATGCAAATTTCAAGTCTGAGAGGCAAAGAATACTCGCTAATATTTATTTTTTGTAATTAAAAGTTTTAGAAAGTTATTTGCGAAACATTTACTAGATCTTAAATGACTTCATATTCTTTTTTACATATACTGTCGTATGTCTTTTCCAAAAACATACTTACTTTTAAATATACCGTTATGAATTTTGTATATATGTAAATAATTTTAGTGAAATTGTAGTATCTTTTATATAATGCAACATGGAAAATCTGAAGAGATCGGAAATCGGCCGGAAAAATAAGATTAAATAAGGGGCAAGTCTATTTAACACTGACGTAAAAGGGCTATCTCGATATATTGGCGAGATCTCGCCAAGCTGCAATGGTTTCAGTAAATAATGATTGTCGCCAAATTTGGCCAGAAATCGCCAAAAAGTCACCAAACTTCGCGACCATTTGGGGATATTTTGGTCTGTCACTGTATAATTGGTATTGTAATTGAATAACTATATCTGATCCTTATATGTAACTTTAAGAGTATACGCCTTCCAATTATTTCGAGAAATGGAAGGTGCTAGACATTTCTCGGCTGCCGCGCGGAAAACTGTGTAAGACCGAAGAGAGCATCAGTGCTCAGTTTTTAGTTCAGAGATCACTTCAGTGTATTGAGAGGTCGTGGGAGCTTCGCTGCTCGGGTGCGATTTGCATTGAATTGTGTTTAACGTTCTTAGTAGTTTGAATTGGTAATTACTCGTTGTGGTTTGTCATATTAAGAAGAGCTCTATGTGTATTTTTGACGGAAACTCCAGATCTGTAAACTGTTTCTTTTGGTAAAATTAATTTTAATAAACCGTTCTGTTTGCATTCAATCCATTAGGAACGCGTACGTAAGCAAAAATACATATATAAAAGGGGGGAGAAGTTCAAGATATTTCAGTAATTTATCGAGAAAGCTCTGAAAATAACTCATAATAATTGATAACCCAAAAGTTGAAGTCCTTCGCGACGGATGGTTTATTTTACTTTTTTGCATGAAAATATATCCGAATAATTATTTTCTCTGCAGTTTGAAACTATTACATCTTCGGAAAAAAAATTTTTCAAATTCGAAAAGAACATTTTAGCCAAACGAAATGTTGCTAAAAAGTAACTACACGTTCCCTTTACATATTTAAAAATAGTAAAACATTAAAAGTATTGTAAAATTCATTAAAATAAAATGCTTAACTGTTTCCGTGCTACGAAATGGTGAATGCAGTTAAAACAGCCTTAAAACCATACCGCATTTCAAGCTAATGCCAAGGATTTGCATTTAATATTGAATAAAAATATGAAAATAACAGATTATTGAATATTTAAATTGTATGCTAATTACTTAAAATTATACTTTTTCCGTTCTGGAACATGGAATCAACTAAATATTTTTTTTGCAGAAGTATGTAATTTTTGTTTTATTTCTTTGACAAAAAATCTTTCAATTAGTCATTTAAAGAAATATTCTATCCTTGTTTCTGGCGACACAAAGAAATTTTCGTGCACATTTTATTAGAAGATGAACTCCTCGTAAACAAACCATTCACAGATTATACCAACAACTGGAAGCCAACAACAAATCCTCATATCTGCGTTGGAAAAGCGCAGATCCAATGTTTGAAGAAGTTGTGACAGCGCTCATTAAGTCTTCTACACACGGAAATGGCAACAGGTCACCCTTTACGCATTGAATGCAAGACGGAGCACGGCCACATTTTGGAAAAGTTGTTCTTGATTTCCTATGTGAGATATTTAATGCGATTATAATATCACATCGGGTCCGAAACGTTACGAAGGTGACGTTTCGGAAACAGAGTGACTTTCACGTAGCCCTGACATTAATCAATGTGATTTCTTTCGATGGGATTTTATTAAAGATAAAATATTCGCAAGTAAGTTCGTTTGCAAAAGGTAGGGAAATAAAATGGAGGACACATTGAACACGTTCTGCACTAAACTCACTTTCGGTTCAGACAGCTAACTAAGCATTCATTTTGCAACATTTCGGTGGTAAATAAATATGTAATAAATAAATTAAATTAATAATTGGAAAGGTTTCAGATTTTAACGGTCGCACAAAAGGGTTTGTTAAGGATTTTTACGCTCTTGCTAAGCTCGCAGTCTACCAGTCTGCTGACGCACTCACTACTGCTAATCCTTTTTTTCTTTTTAGCTTTATTATCAAGCACCAAATTCTTCGCACTTAAGCTATACACAACAGCAAAATTACAAAAATTTTAAAAGCAGCATAGCGGCACCTATTTAGAATTTCCAGATGCAGAAATAAGTGTTGGCATACATTTTTCGGTATTCTTCCAATAGGCGATCTACCTAATTTAACTTTGTAGTTACTTTACAAAACCATAGGTGGCGGCACTAAAATTCTTGTTTTTATATATTTTTTTCTTCCGCCATTTTATTCAAATTTACATAATCAGATTTGGCAAAATATTTATTTCTCTTGCTGTATTTTATGCTGCGTATAAGGAAGCTTTCAATGTGCGAATAAAAGTGTGATTTTTTTTTTTTTTTTTTTTTACTAGGATAGCTGGTTTAAATATTTCAATGATTTACTCGATATTAATATAACTAAAAGTCGCCCTAAATGTTACGGATATATATTATATCAAGAATTTCGCGCATATAGTAAATGAAGACGAATTACACTCGATTTTGTACTGCTATATTAGTTGTTTCAACACTTATTTACAAACAATTTGTTGTAAGAAGAGTACGGGAAAAAAAAAAAAAAAAAAAAGAGAGAGAGATAATGAATTTAAGGGAGTTAAATTAAACACTGTGGCCGCTTGAGACAGTTATTTTATTTGTTTCTTATTTCGGAAGCACTTCCGCAGAGAACCCGGTAAATTTAAACAGCGCCAACTTTGGCGATAATAGTTCAAACCTGGTAACCCAGCCGATTTATCGTATTCGCTTGTTCGAAGTTTGCAACCATTTTTCTTGCGTTCATTTTGTTAAAATATCACTGTCATTGTTCGCATTTGCAGATTTACATTATTCTTCTCTTATTTATTATTATTTTTTCTGAAATTTTTAACAACGAATAGATAGAAATATTTTCGTAGATAGAGGCCAGTTCTCGGTTCGGGATGAAAGGAAGAAAATACGACGGGAGGGGTGAATGCTATTGTAACACGGCTGTTCACGTTGTGTGTTCTTAATTATTAACAGCTCTAAGAACCATGAGGTTTCCAACCTCTAAAATAATTTGTTTCCGTAGGCCGCAAAAATGTGCATGTGCTTTTATTTTTATTATTGGTTATTGTCATCTAAAAGTATGAGAATAAATCAATTTTTATGGCGTAAAATTTTTAACAAGATAATATATTGTTAATGCTATTAAATTGAAATAAAAAAAATATTATTGATTATCTAAGATGACAGAATAGATGCATCACCATGGTCATCAAAATTAGCAAACCACTGCTGATGTAAGGAATATATTGTTTTCTGTGTTAATTGGAATTTAAGTCAAATTTTTTTCGTTTCTCACGTTTAACCGGTTAATTTCAATACATTAATACTAATTTATATTTTTAAATGAATTTTTATTTCCGTTATAAATGCTTATATATTGTCTTATGCTTAATATATTCTTTTCTGTGCTAACTTGAATTTAATTCAAATTTATTTTCGTATATCACGTTTAACCGGTTAGTTTTACATCTACAGGCTTATTATCTGTGAATTTTTACTACCATATGCTTGTTTTGTCTGCTAACTTGAATTTACATGCACTAAAAATCACGTTTACAAAATATCACATTTACGGGTCGGCTCATCGAGCTTGGCGAGTAAAAATGCAACGGCGCCAACAGGTTTCCCGAAGCGCTAACGGGTTCTCTGCGGAGGAAAACCCCTTATTTCATCTCTCTGTAATTTAAACTTAAAATTTATTTGAGAGTAAATTGATAACAATGATTCTACGATAGCATTTTAAAAACTCTCCGCAAATTCAAAGGAAAAATTGCATGCGAATGAAACGATAAGCATAAACATTGCTTTTATAAACAAGTCTGTAAAAGACGTGGCGCCATCTACTGTAAAAATGGTAAACTAACTAAGGAAATTAGGTAGCTTGCCAATTGAGACAATACCCATTCCTTTATTTTATTCAGTCTTTTCTCAGTTCATGATATGAAAGAAACCTAAGGAAGAAACCCACTGATTTCTTCTGCAGGATCTGTAGTGGCACATAAGGAAAGATGATGCTAAGTGCGCGAACTGGATGTCATTGCAATTACGAATTTGTGATTTTAGATTATTGACAGTTTTTTAACCTTGTTTCCTTTGGAATAAAAAATGAACCCACATAAGACTTGAATCAATATGTATATTAAAGGATAGATTGACGAGGTTTGGTATGATTCTTGTAAAAATGCATGAGTATGCTATTTACGTATATAATCAAATAAATAATTAAACCTTTTTTAATAAAAATATTCTATTTGCCATATATTCCAAGTGTGTTAGTATTCTCCCTTGCTTCTCAAGCCCTCTTTAGTGCTCCTTGGACCCGTAATGCCTCCTTTCGCCGTCTAAACGCCCACTAATGGGCGACAGTTGGAAAATTATGGTTTAAAATGTCATCTCAAAAACCTGACTACGCCACTATAGTCTGTTATTTTGAAACAGGAACTTCAAGGTCCCAGCAACCCTTCCCTCATTTACGATCATAATGTGTGTTGCCATCACCGCACAGAGGGAATGAACAGTTGATTAGCAAATCAGAGGATTCGACCTTTTTTCCGCAGTAGTCGTTGCTATGGTTATCAGTCATGGTTTTCGGGATAAAACAGAAGCAACAGACTATAGTCAGTTGAGACTGCCATATGATTAAATAGCAGGTTTAACTATCAGTTATGCAATATCCACTCTAAACTAATGCATTATTTAGTTAATAATTTAACTGTCGTTTATAGTTCAGAGGGAAAAAGAACGTCGGAGAAGAGAGGAAGAACGTGAACAAGCCATCCGAAATAGATTGAAAGAGGCAGATGAGAAGAAGAGGAGAACATTGGAAATGTACGATCAGATGGCTAAATCTAGTCCCGCTGGAGCAAAGAAGACTGTTGACATAAATCTCTACAGAGAAGGTAAGGAATATTAGACATCCTTAGGAACAAATAGTCTTAAGAACGGGACAACTTGGAATGATTCTTCAAACATGCGAATACCTTATACAGTACAAAGTCCAAAATCCGGACTCGTCGGGACTTCGGCGATTCTGGATTTGGGATTTTTCCGGATATTAGTTCATCAGTTTAAATCTAGTAAGAAGGCATGTAGAAATTATAAAATTGAAAATATGAAATCGTGATTTATGAAATAATGAAGTATTTATGATCTACAGAGTATCAAAATTTACAAAAAAAGCTTAATATTTGTTTACCTTATTAAGCATTTCTTTCAATGCAAGTTGCTTCGTTTTTTGTGCTAATACTTTCTCTTTAATTCTGCAGACAGACATAATCTCTTGTTTAGTTACATTGTTGAAGTCCTGTAACTGCCATTTCGAGAATTCCAGCTAAATTTTCTCGTTTTCAGTAACTTCTTTGTCACTTTCTTAACTATCGGTAGCGGTTTTTTCTGGATCTAGAACCATACTACAGATTTCTCCATTCATTAATTGATTGATGATTGAGAAGCATTGTAATCACAATGAAAAACTTCTTTTATATAATCTTCATTTATTACCGCTTCTCCACATATCTTTACAAAATCTGTTAATTGGAAAATTTCACCTTTGTTTCTGATATCCGAAAACCTTTAAAATTATCGGCTATTATCATCAAATTTAGCTATCCTGCACTATACATATTTGGCTATGCATCATGAGCTTGGCGACTAACGACAAGTTGTTCCGTTAAATTTTATCTTGTTTCTATCGCGCACTGAAACAATTAAGCCTGAATTGTATTTAGTTATTTATTATATTTATGTCTGCTTAAGGCTTATCAGAGTTCTGAATAAATAAATTCTCACCATATACTTAAACCTTATTAAGGGCCGGCGCTAGATATCTTACCGCCTGATGCAGCATTTGTGGGTCCTAAATTCTGCGACTCGATACGGTCACACGAGCCCAGGCGCTGGTTCTGGGTTTATGTGAATAAAAATCAGTTATTCTTAATTTAAATAATCCTAAATGTAATCTTTGGGTCTATGAGTATCAACAACAAAATCTACTTTTAGCATATGGAACAAAGTTTTTGGTAAATTTTTCCCCGTCAACATCCTTTAGCGCAATCATCACCAAGCGTAATGTCAACATAAAACATTACCAGACTCTTTTATTATTCAATTACTAACATAAAAAAGTGTTTAGGCATCGCTACATGAGTCATTACTCAAGTTGTCATGTTTTGATAAACATGCGGTGATGAAAGGGAAGTATAACAAATAATGATTCGCCAGTTTGGCGTCAGATCAACGATGTATCTATGTGGAATGTTTCGGTTTGAGATGTATGCCAAGCAGATACGCAGCAACGGAGCCAAATTACTGATCGTACAAATTTATTCTAAAATGATTGTTTCCTCAATAACAAGGCATTTTATTTAGTGTCGAAGTGAAATTAAGGATCAGGACTCTCCAGATGTTTTATTATGCGCGGAGGTGGAAATCAAATGCGCATGCGCAAAGCAACCTACCAGAAACGTTGTTGGTGGTTTTGAGGTCTGGATTTTAGATCATTCCGGATAATGCACTTCCGGATTTCGGACTTTGTACTGTAGAAGGTAAAGAATAAACTTGTATGTTTGTGTTTAAATATATAGCTATATATCTAATCTTTAAAAGTTTTTTCCTCAGAAATATTAATAAGTAAAAAAATTCAAAAATTAGTTATAATAAAAGCAATAATTAAAGTATTTGACAGTAAAAATATAATATTACGAATAATAAGGAAATAAAAAGCAAATGAAAAAAATTACTCGAATTTAATCATAATGGCGAAAGCTTTGAACAAACTAGCGGATTTAAAGCACCTTCTTAGCTCCAGCCTACATCGCAAGCAGTCGTCGCAAGAAATCAGAAAGAAAACACCAAAATAAAGAAGAATACAAACTAATTAGGATGGAAAAATAATGAATAAAATACCTGACGTGAACACCACATGACTTCCTTGTATGGCCTATTAAATTATACACATTTTTTGCTGCACTTCATTTAAACTTATTTCCTTGAATTTCATTAGTTATATATATCATATTCAATCAATTCATTTATCCCTTCACGGCAAAGCAAAAATACAATAAAATTCGATCTTCATTAAAAACTGTAAAATACAAAAAAACTTAAATCGCCAAATACTGATAAACACAGTTTAAAACATGTTTACGACTAAAATGAAAGTTACTCTTCTATTAATTCTAAACTTCAAAATCACGAAAAACTTAAACCACGAAAATACGTACGGAAAAATAAATAAATAAATAAATCTGAAAGGTTTCAGATTTTAAATTACGTCTAAAGGGGCGTTTTTTTAACGTTTTGTGTGTTACCTTTATTTATTAAATCGGTCGCGGACACTTAGCCGACAGGACACTTAACCGACACCAGTTAGCCAACAAGACATTTAGCCGACAGGGACACTTAGCCGACAGGACATTTAGCCGACAGGGACACTTAGCCGTCATGGACACTTAGCCGACAGGACATTTAACCGACAGGGACATTTAGCCGACAGGACATTTAACCGACACGGACACTTAGCCGACAGGCCATTTAGCCGACACGGACACTTAACCGACAGGTCATTTAGCCGACACGGACAGTTAGCCGACAAGACACTTAGCCGACAAGCACACTTAGCCGACAGGACATTTAGCCGACACGGACAGTTAGCCGACAGGACATTTAGCCGACAGGACATTTTGCTGAAACAGAGAGTTAGCCGTCAAGACATTTAGCTACGGGACACTTAACTGTCAACACATTTAATCCACAGGACACAAAGCCGACAGTAACGTTTAGCTGACACTTACCCAATAATTATTCATACTTACTATCAATTACAAAATTTCTCGACTCCTCCATAAGTTCAATATTTAAGTTATTTTTTCACTATCAGTAAAATTCATTTTTCGATTCTTAAAGATCTCATATATACTTTTAATTATTGTGTTAATTTAGCATTGTTTGATATGTATCCATGGGCCTTATAAGAAATAGACTAACAAAAATGGGTTTTCTCACTTGCCTTGGCGTATTACCGGCTGTCACCTTGCCCATATCCGGAGGAGTATGCAGCGCGTATAATTTTCAAGAAAAAGCTGGTGATAGCACCTCATTTCACAAATTAGAATTTTTAGATATTTTTATTTTTGAAACTGAGATTGATTTTTAAAAATTTAGCATGTTTATCAAGCATAATTGACGTTCTAAATAATTATAAAGCTGTTGCATGCTTTCAGGTCTGGATATTTTTGTAGCTTTTCCTATGCTGTAAGGAAATTTGTATCTCCTTTTTTTAAAAGTAATATTTTAAATCTGAACTAATAGAAAAATTCAAGCAAAAAATTTTCTCTTACAGTTTTTATGCTTTTATTGGTATAAATAAGTAAAAAATACTAAAATTGAAAAAAGGGATTTTTGAAAGTTTTTGCTTAACATTCTTATTTGTACTGCTTTTTTGAAATTATATCTGAATATTAAAGCATAATATTCTACAAAGAAGCTTTATTTCAATAATATTTCATAATACATTATAGTGATTAACACTTTTAACACTTTAATAATTTTTATGCATTTATTATAAAGTTAAAAATTGTATTTGACTGTAATAATTAATTGTGCTAGTATTTTATAGTGATTATTTTTTTTTAAATTTATGTCTAGTTCGGCATAAGTTTTGTTCTTTATTGTTAACTTATTTTATCAGCTCAAAGAGGCAGCAGCTCAGAAAAGCTATTAGTTTCGAAACGGCATTTTGCTTTGTTTCACTATAAATGTCCGTTTCACTTTGCAAACTGTTGCCACCAAATATTAGCGCCCTGTATTATATTTAAAGAAATTAAATAATGAAGAATCTGCATGAATGCACCTATGTTTCTCTCGCACTGTGAAAAAAAACAACAGAATTTAGAACCATAAAATTTTGAATAACGTAATCCTCCACCCACACATGGGCACTTGCAAGGCCTAATTTCGAATTTGTTTTAATCCATTTCATATTTTGTAACTTGTCCTTTCATATTTTGTAACTTTCATATTTTGTAACATCCTGTCGGCTAACTGTCCGTGTCGGCTAAATGTCCTGTCGTCGGCTAAGTGTCCTTGTCGGCTAAATGCCTTGTCGGCTAACTGTCTGTGTCGGCTAAATGACCTGTCGGCTAAGTGTCTGTGTCGGCTAAATGTCCTGTAGGCTAAGTGTCCGTGTCGGCTAAATGTCCTGTCGGCTAACTGGTGTCGGTTAAGTGTCCCGTCAGCTAAGTGGTTTTCGGCTAAGTGTCACGGACCCTTATTAAATATCATGTTCTTCGCACTTAAACCATGTTCAGTTCAATAGGAGTGTCGCAAAATAATTTTAAAATGAGTCTATCTTTAGAATTTCCGATACACAGTTCCCCGCACTGGAGACCAAAAAGGTTCCCCCCCCCCGGTAGTGTGTTGCCATTGCTCGCTTTCAAATCGTTGACTTTGTTACTCAAAAATTCGTTAAAGTTTTACAAAATATGAAATCAATAATAAAACAAATTCCAAATTGGTCTTCCACATGCCCGATTCGCAGTAGGATTACGTCATTCAAAATTCGATGGCTCTATATACTGTTGTTTTATCACAATGCGAGAAATATACATACATTTATGCAGATATTTCATTATTTAATTTCTTCAAATATAATGCAAAATCTCTAACATTGGGTGGCAACATTTTGAAAAGTGAAACGGACATTTATAGTGATTCAACGCAAAATTGCAAAACGAAAACAATAGTCCTTCAGGGACAAAGTCCCTTTGGGCTAAAAATCCCAGTGATCAACCGAAACGATGCCTTCGGTTATGCACATGTAGAATGAATTGTAGAGCTAATCTGTCAAACTAAAACTAAAGATGCAATTCAGCGGTTTTTATAAAGCATGCCTGGTAGAGCGTGTTTGGTTTTTATGCATTTCTAGCGTATAGCATTCAGTGAACACGGTTGCGGCCATGCACGGATAATTCGCACCCGAACAATTGAGAATACATAGTACCGAACTTTTTGTCGGGTCGTGAGGCAAAAAATATTGCAAAGACAAGAGGAGAAAACAGCTAAATTTAGAGAGAAATCAATAGGCGACGTAAATAAAAAATGAACGAAGCGCCATTTATTAAGAAGAGCAGTAACTAATTGTGAAAAAGCTAAGACATTAAAATTTTGAAAGTAATCGGAAAAAAATTGGATTAGAATTAATATCATTAATTGAAAAAGGTAAATTTTTGGAAAAGTGAATGTCTTCAAGAAAATCCAGTTTACCAATAGAAGTTTGCAGAATAAAGAATTAGAACTGTAATTCAATAACCCCTTGTGATTAGTTATAGTAATATATACATATATATTCTGAATGCAGGATTCGTATTCTTTGATGCGAAATTTTTAACGCTGTTAAAGTTCAAGCGATATACATCAAACCGCCATTAAAAAAAGTGCTATAAATACTTTAAAAATTAAAATTAGAAATGGGATTTTTAAGAATTTCATTAGTTCGTGTGGGAAAACTGATGCCCATCAGTGGCCGAGCGGTATATTCGCTAAACACTGGTAGTTTGGGTCCGAGGTTCGAATCCCGTAAACGGTCTGGCTGCATGGGCGTTTCCGTGGTTTTCCTCATGTGTAACGTGTATATGAACCAGTTTCTCTAAAAGATCTTCCACGAAGGCATCCCTTCCTTTAGGCACATAGCCCTCGAGTGCTTTGCCATAATCAAATAAACCAAACCGAAAACAAAAAGCGTTTTGTTAAGGTTGTGAAGAATCCGAACAATTTTATAACTGATATAAAGATAAAACAGAATGAAAATAAAATTATTGTAGTTATTTCTAATAGAAGAATAACCTTTTTTGATGGTAAGAGAAAATCATTGACTATTCAAAATAAAACAAAATAAGAAACGAATCATTAATTGTGACATCACCTGCCGTATAAAAACATAAAAAGTAACACAAGCAGATTGGGTGTACTCCAACTGCGCTAATGAAAATCACCCCCCGGGTTGAGCTATAGTCCAACTGCGCTAATCAAAATTTCTTCCCCCTGCTGCCTACAGGGTTACAATTTAACTTTTCGAAGCCAATTGTAGCCAAGAGGAAAATAAAAATAAATAAGTAGAATTACATATCACAAGAACAAGTAAAAAATATCTAACTAGCAGGCTAATTACTTGAATTACAGTAATAAATGCGAGAGCTAACAAAGAAAATAAAAGGTATTGGTAAACATACATATTAGCATTGCAAACATCTTTCATTTATTATAATAATATCATAAATTAAATAATTATAAAGCATACAAATTATATTTTTAATAAATTACATCAATAATAGTCAAGATGTCTGAACTAGACTGGAAAATTTAATAGAGTTCACTAGCATGCAAAAAATTATTCCATATCAAAGTGTGTTAAATTGTGCTAAAAATATTTTTTTGTTAATTAAAGTAATCATGTAAATGTTTGCAGAAATTAAATTTAGTTAAATTTAAAAAAAGCTTAACATGAAATCTATTATAACAACATTACTATGCATTTGGAACACTGACGTATAAATTGTAAATAAATTTAAATTATTATGCTAAGAAGTTTTTTCTAAAATTTATCTAGAATAAAGGAATTAGATAAACAATACCGCAAATTAATATAATCAATCAGGCCTCTCAATAATTAAAAGTTTATTTTTTTAACCAAAAATTAAAAATTGGGATGCAAAAGTTTGAGTAATATACTTGGAAATATCTGAACATATAATTAATTAGAAATGTATAATTAAATTAATAACAAGTTAATTAACAGTAACATTAAGCTTAATTTCATTCAATCTAAAACAAGTTATCGATTAAAACCACATAACTGAAGTTTTAATGCTATTTTACGTAGATTTGGGTATAAAATAAAAGTTGCATAAAAGTTGTACTTGTGAAACAAGTGAATAATGTACTGATAGTCAACAGGAATTAAAATACAGTGGATAAAAATATAACTACTTGTCAGAAGGTATGCAAAGTTGCCATGGCTACAGAAATTGAATGATTATAGAAAACTCATAAAGTTAAGCGCTACAGTGTGAAAAGAAAATTCTGCTATAAACATGTTAAGAAAATTAGATGGAGAAATAATCCTTAATTTATTGATATCCATATAGACTCTATGCTTTTGGGAAAATGTTTCATATAATTTGCACAGAGGTATCAATCACCGAAACCGAGTTAATTTTTTTCCTTATTTTTTCTTATTAGAGGGATTTGTAAAAAGATATGCTAAGGTAAAGGTGAAAACTTTTACAATATTTTTAAAGAATAAATTAAAAAAGTATTTTTACTTCATGAACTGAAATTTTTACGCTACATTTTTACACAGTAAATAAGTACAAAAAAAGAAATAGCTGGGGGATCACTGGGACTAGAAACTCGGGTCGAACTACCAATGTTTAGTGACTTTTCCGCTTGATCATAAGACCTTTGGAAATTAGGCTGAACAATATATTAAGGAAAATAGAAGATACAGCCCACGTAAGAACAAAAGTGGGCTGAATTAAAGATTTACATATTTAATGAATGAGTTAAACTTACCTGTATGCCATTATGAAATATTAGGAATGTAGCATAAAAGCATGAGTGAAGAAAGCAATGGCAATCTAAATCATTGTAATCTAAATGTATAACATTATCAGTATCTGCTATTAATTTCAATACTGCTGAAAAAATTATAAATGAATTATATGATAAATTACAGGAACTTGTTGCATTATAAATTACAACAGTTAGAAACATTATTAGCGTGATTTAGGGACCATTTTTGTTAACAAATAATTTCAAGTAATTAATTTTACAAATAATTCAGCCTGAAACTAGGTTAGAAAATAAGCTGCATGCTGAAGATTAAGCTTTACCAAGGTGTTAGAAATATCTTTACTTAACTAGAGTTATGATGCAAGAATTCGTAAAAATTTTCATTTAAATATAAATTGGCATAAATACAATACAAAAATATATAAATTCTACACACATTGAACATAAAACTTGAACATAAAACATACATAAACTTGATAACTAACATACATAAACTTGATACATAAAACTTGAGTACAGTGCAACAATATGTGAAAAAGGAATGGATTAAAAGGGAACTGAAAATCCCAGGATATGAATATAAGGGGGTTTGAGTTTTTTTTTTTTTTTTTTTTTTCTTTTTTTGTTAATTAGGAAAATTTTGCTGACGCTCATAATTATTAATTTATTAATTAAATGTGTATTAGAATTTAAATGTATGCCAAAGTACATTAAGTGTAAAACAGAATAAATACTATTTAAACGTTTCTAGTATTAAAATATGGAATTTGTAACAAAGTTAAATAACCTTATAACTTCCATGACTAAAAATGGAAAGCTTAATACGGGAATATTTTGCAATAATAATAGTGTGAATTGAGAACGACTTAAGAAGTCCAATTTTTAGATTTAATAAAGAGAATTTTTAAAATTAAATTAGAACTGTTTACCTAAAATGGTAAATTTGAAAGTTAAACCCATTTTGCTATCAAAGAAGATTTGTTAATATTTATCTAGACAAGAAACTTATTTAAGGTGAGCTACAAATCCGATATTTAATAGGTTGATTATGTATCAGTTTTGTGTATGTCATTAATCTATCAATTTTACTATTCAAAACTTATATATATATATATATATATATATATATATATTTTAACAAACATAATTTTGCAGCATATTGCGCAAAAGGTTTTGACCAAATTGGTCTTTTTAGTATAGTACTTACAATTTAGCTTATTAATATATATATATATATATATATATATATATATCAGCGACTAAAATCTACAACTTGGAAAGTTTTTAATTCTTACAGAGAATAAAAAAGATCTGGCTCATCATTCCTTTAAGCATCATAAAACTTTAAAATGAGTGTAAAAGAAATTAATTTTTACTTTAGCACACGCCAGACTTTAAATTAATATTTGTTTTGCATGCACAATTTTTACAATATTGATAAACGAAAATAAAGGCTTGCAGTCTCAATATAATGTCCCATTAAGGGCGATAAATGACTTTTTGTAGCACCAAATCTTCTTGGGAAAGAAATAGGGGGCAGGAAACGTCGCGCAGTTCGTGGATTAGATGAGAGGGGGACGGGGATCTTTGATCAAATTTGGCGCAGTTCGTACCCTACCAGCAGATTCATAACAACATAAAGGAGAATTCTTTTACCAAAAAAGAATTTTTAAGTGTTCATTTAAACTATATAATACGCACAGCCCGAATTTTTTTTTTTTTTTTGCTTTTTACAGGTAGCCGACCACAGTCCCCTCTTCCAGGAGTTATAGAACAACCGAAAGATTTAGTAGAACAAACTATTCGTGAAAGATTGAAAGCGGCGGAAGAGAGAAAGAAAAGGATATTAGCTGCATATGATCATGCAGCTAAAAGTCAGCCAGCAGGTGGAGCTCGCATCGTGGAATTCGACGCCTTTAAGAGTGCTGATGGTAAGTGTTTTTATTTTTGTAGCCTCGTGAATATAAACGAAATCTGTGTGCCCATATTACTTTCTACAGTCGTTGATGGATGACATTATATTTTTTAATATAAACCGAGAGGTAAAATTCTGCTTCAATAATTCAGCCAAAATTGAAGCCGAATTTAAAATAGTTATATACGGTAGCTCACATTTGTTTTCGGACACTTGTTTGTCTGAAATTTATTTCCACAGATATGATACTAAATATTAAAACAAAAAATCCAATTTTTTTTCCTATTGTACTATTTTTTTACTGTTTTAAACATTGTTTATTAGAAAATATGCATTATTAAAATATTCCTTTGAATCAAATAATTTATTCAGAAAGGGCTAATCAGTATCACATAATCATTCGGACATTCAAAAGACTTTTTGAAATGTTTTGACAGGCGATATTTCTTAACGTCATTTTTGGTTTTAAATGAAACGTCATCAAAAGAATTGTCATTTTCATATTTTCATTCCTACATCTGCACTGAAGAGAAGAATTTAAAAGCAGTATTAAACAGCCTACCTATCGATACAAAGACATCACGCGGAAATTTTGGAAGTAAATATCTTGTCAAACTTGAAAGGTTTCAACAAATTATAGTTTAATTTGAAAATAAAATTGTTAAATGTCTTAAATTTTTTAGAGTATTTATCAGTGGATTTTGAACTGATTTTAACCATATTCGAAAATTGAATTTTAAAGACTGATAATTTACGGCTATTTAACGGATAATATGATTTTTTTTTTTTTAACGCTCAATGTTTCTAATAGGTTACATTTTAAAAAATGCTCATTCATTTAAACTAAAGTATCATAAAATTTTATGGTTTTTCTAACTTCATCTACGGGATATTGGTCTTTAGTATATTTTAAACATGATGACTGAAATGAAAAATTAAAATTTAATAACTCTTTTTTGCTATTAATAGATGTTTATTATTATTTTTCCATGATTCCAATAAAACATTTAACAGAAAAGTTTTGAGTTTATTTTGCAAATCGGGCTGAAAAGTTGATAATTATTTTCAAAAGTCATGCTTAGAATAAAATTCAAACAAGAAAAACACCTTTCTAAATCAAACAGTTCAACTAAAAGCAATAAAAAGGAAAAAATATTCTTTTTTAGCTGTTGTAGTATTTTTGTAAATATCCGACTAAAAATAAAACCATCGAGCAATTAATATTGGAATTAATCTTTCAAAGAAAAATTTAAGCGGACTGAATTTAAGCTTTGTTATATAAAATCACTCATATGGTAACAACTCTTTATTCCATGGAAGTTTTTATATGGGTACCCAATGATTTTATTTTTAGCTGCATGTGATCAAGAATATTAGAGAGCTAATATATATATATATATTCATTTTTCAGTACATTTAACTAAAATTATGCAGTTGGAAAAAACACATGCCAATGTAAAATGTAAAACTCCAGAAAAATGTTTTGTTACAATTGGAAGGAGCAAACAACCAAATTTATAGGATGAAGTAAAGGGGAAATAACTCCAGAAGAAATCACTAAAATAAAAGCAGGAAACTAAGATACTAAAGCATTAGTAAGATCTCTTTAGAACTTGCGTCCTTAACTTTTATATTACGGTCCAAAGAGTAGTTTTATCTGTTAACTTTATTTATTACATATGTTCTTCGCACTTAAACCACATAAAATCCAATTCGACAGCGATACTACAAAATATTTAAAAACTTCATATCTTTAGAATTTCCGATTTACAGTCTCGCGCGCTGGAGATAAAAGTGTTTGTTTTTTTCGTACAACGTTGCCATTCCCCACTTTGAAATCGTTGAGTTTGTTACTCAGAAATCGTTAAAGTTTTACAAAATATAAAATAGATAATAAAAACAAGTTCGAAATTCAAAATTCGAGCTTCTAGGTGCCCATGTTCGGGTGGAGGATTACGTTATTCAAAATTAGATGGCTGTGATGCGTGCCGTCGTTTTTCAACAACGCGAGAAACAAACGTAGATTCGTCATTACTCAATTTCTTTAAATATAATACAGGGTGATATTATTTGGTGGCAAAAATTTGAAAGCCGTTTATAGTGATTCAACGCAAAATCCCGTTATAAGACTAATAATTCTCCTGAGCTAACGCTCCTTTGGCCTAATAATACATTTTATAAATGTGAAAGATTTCGGAGAAATTCAATTCATTAAAGGAAGAAATTTTAGGGATAATTTTCACAGAATTAAAGTAAAAATTGTGGTTAAATAACTAACTACGATTCGTCATAGAACATTTATTTATTTCCTCTTTCCGAGCATTAGAATCGTGTTCTTTGATGCGAAATTTTAATGCTACTTTAGTATTGCCACTATATCGCTAACCACACTGACAAAAGGGTTATAAATTCCCCAGAAATTGAAATCAATATGGAATCTTTAATAATCGAACATCAAATTTTACTGATAGGTAAGAAAATGACTTGAAAGTTTCTAACAGGAAAACATCTTTTATAATAGCTAGAAAAACAGTTTCTTATTCTTAAATAAAATCATGGGAGAAAATCTTCTGTCGGTGACAAGAGATTTCAAATAATCAGGTTTCTGAGAAAGAAAAGATTCTGAAGGACAAATCTTGAAAACATGATAAATATGTAAGAATAGTCACAGGACGCGGGTACCTTTCCTCTACCATTACGGTTAATCGGTTCTGCCCACGACCGCCCTTGTCTAGTGTTTATTAATAATTCTTAAATTTTTACATTGCCATATATTGTGGCTATACAATTATTGTATATACTTTATTTGTAATTGTATGTACTTTATTGTAATTGCAAAATAATTCTTTTGAAAACAAAACACAAACATGCCTAGTTATTTTCACGAAGCCTGTGAAAGGTAGCTGTTGCTTCAGCATGTCTAGTGGTGTGCCCAAGGTCGAAAAAGGTATTTTTGTCTTCCTGTATTGATTTTAACCATTTGCTGTTGAGCTTTTCTAGTCCGAATCAAACTTCTTAATTTAAACTTCTTAATCAAACTTCTTAAGCTGCAGAAAAATTATCGTTAAAGACAGAAAGAAATTGAGAACTAATATTTCACAAAAACCATAGTAACGCGTCAAAAACAGCGAAATTTTGGCGAAGCGTCGTGCACATGCGCGACGTCATATGAGTGGCAAGGTCGTCTGGTAAACAGTCAGTGTGTTTGCTGTATTTTATTTTATTTCATCAAGCTAGTGAGTGGTGTTGCGATTTGACGAGTGAGCAAATTGTGTACCAAAAGAATTTACCGCTAAGCAGCGTAAGAGAATGCAGGATTCAGAAGCAGGCGATATTTGTATGGTTGATGTAATTGCAGGGTAATTTCTAGCGGTGGTGCAGGGCGTAAAAGTACGCGGGCGGCGAAAATCAGGGAAGGCGGACTCTCGCGATACCACGACTAAATATTTTAAATTCATTGTAAGTACTTTTTTTATACAATTTGTCATAAGTGAGTACTTAATTTAATGAGCATGAAATAAAAATTTTAGTAATCACAGAGCACAATTTTTTTTTTTTTTTAAATTTCGGGAGGGGGGCAATCCTTGGCGGGCAGCAAATGGCCTAGGAACGGTCCTGTGTAATTGTTAATAGATAGTCAAGATTTATTCTTGCAGTCGTATATATTCACAAAACTGTAAATTCAGGAGATTTGAAGATGTTCTTATTTAGTGCATTGATGAAACATTCTGAGATTAATTTATTGATCGATGAAGAGTTTACTGTAGATACATATGTTCCCGTTATTATGATGGAAGATTTCAATGTAGACATCAAACGAAATGAAAATGTGTTTTATTTTATGAAATATCATTTTAATCTCAATATGATTATCAAAACTATCCACACTTGGCAGTTCATTTATAGAGCTAACATTTACAAGGAATATAAATGCAGATATCTTAAATTATGTATCTTATTTCTTATATCATCGACCAATTTTACTTAAGGTCATTTTGAGTAAATAAATGTAATGTAATGTGCGTGTAAAATCTTCGTTTGTTTTACTTGTTCTATAACATCCTCACATTTCCATTAGTAATCCTACCCATTAAAAATCAGCGGCTATTTAAACTGAAAGAGAGAGCCTACCGTTAATTTTTGTCTACCGTTAATTAGTATACAGCCTTCGTTGACTATTATGACATCTGAAGTGGATATATGTTGTAGAGATATTAGGTTATTTTTTATTTTTTAAAGCAAGAGAGATTGAAAAATTAGCAACCGCCTTCCCCGGGAATCGAACCACAGATCTCTGGAATACGCGCCCAGCGTGCAGACCACGAAGGCATGCCAAAAAGGCGGGAGAAATACCTTATAATGTATATGATTTCCCTTCATGCGTTACAAGTAAATGTAATGTTACTTATAGGACAAAAGACCGAGAAAGAGTTTACAATAAGAAATTCAAAATTACTGTTTTTAATTTTTTTTATTTTTAATTGTTTTATTACTTTACAGTCTCGAAACTAGAACCACCGAAGCCCGTGAAAGGTAGCTGTTGCTTCAGCATGTCTGGTGGTGTGCCCAAGGTAGAAAAAGGTATTTTTGTCTTCCTGTATTGATATTAATCATTTGCTGTCGAGCTTTTCTAGTCCGAATCGAACTTCTTTGACCTTTTGTATCTGTATAATAAATGGTTTATTTCGAAACAAAAAATTTAGTAAATTTAAAACATGGCAGTCTTACAATGTAGTTTTATCATGTGACTAAAGTTTTTAATTATAAATAAGTTACTTCTAATTTTTTATGTGTACGATGATTTTATAATATGTTTTGCACAGTAAATTTATTTATTGCACAACATGAACCCTGAAATAAATGGTAAAAAGTACACGAAGGTGACAAACCAGACATTTAAAAAATGTTGCCGTTTCTGAGGAACTATTGCCACGAATGCAAGATTTTCACTGTATTTAATAATATTATTTTATGATCTTTCATTTTACTTTAGCGCTGGATTCACTTATTTTTCTATGGATGGAATAATTCATTACCATCAGAATCAAATCATTCTTCAAAATATTTACTTTCTTCTTTTACAAAATCAAATACTGTTCTACATGCTGTAACAGAATTCCATCTTCCATGAAAATATTAGTATTTTTCTAAAAGAGGGGGGGGGGTGGAAGGTCTATACAGTTGACTAACAGAAATAACTAAAATATATTTACTGAGTCTTCTTAATGTTCAGTTAAAACACACAGATTTTCATTGTCTCAAACTCTGACCATGTACCTATTAAATTTACCAGGGAAATGAAGCATTGATTCATCTGAAAAAAATGAGTCGTTAGGTGAAGTTCGTGTACAGACGCAGCAGACGACATAGATCTCCGACCCAGGTCCAACTTGCGGACCCATACAGATTTCAGATATCTATGGTCCAGGAACCTCATCCTCGCGGGCGCAACCCCCGCAGTCCCCGCCCGGCTTTATACAAAGCATTGAGCAGAACGAATCGTTGATATGTAGAAAAACTTAAGTCAGTTTGCCTCTGTGCACCACTCCATTGGGTAAACATACGTCGTTGTGAGTGCTCTGTCCGTCCCCGTCACGAGAACTGAATGGGGTCAAACCCCCGGGGATCCGGTTAACGATCTCTGATCTGGCTCCACCACAGCCGAAGGAACAGACACGACAGTACCAGTACGGTGCCAAGTCTGAGCCTACCTGAGTACAATACTCGGGTTCTAGCCCTGTGAAGTCAAATTATATACCCCCGTGGTTGAAACTGCCTAAGTACAAATCCTAACCAGTACTTCCCAGGAATTCTAATGAGTCAACCCCGGGAGGGGTTCGTGTACAAAAGAAATAAGTTATTTTACAATAATAAAAATCCCAGAAACCTTAACAGTTTTGGGCAATCCATGCGACATCAGTGTCAAGTATACATCACTGTGAATGGCTGGGACTTTGGGTTGTCTGATTACGGTGAAGCACGCCAGGGGTATCTGTCCTAAAGGGAGATGCCTACGTGTAGGACTTCCTACTTGTTCATGAAAGGAAACTGATTCCTACGTTCGTTACGCAAGGGATAAACCACGAAAATGTCAGCAGGATTTGAACTTGGTTCGAACTAACGGTTACTACTTGGCCCCTGGTGAGGCGACTGGAACTTTGAATATGTCTGAAACCATATTCTGTGTCTACCAGCTGTTGAACTGTGAAGTTTCCATCTAATAGAACCCTGGTTTCTGTATTCCACTTTGGCTATATTTTTGTGTCTTTTACCTTCTGCGAGTGGCTTGCTTAGTGCACCTTCTCTATGTAAATATGTTTCCTATCGATGTTTCTGTACCTCCTCACAAAATTTACGTGGAATTGCATTGCTTATTTAATCTTATTATGAGTAAAACAATGGAAAGATCAGAATGAAGGGAGGTACTGCTTTACAGGATGTCCAGAACAAATTTAACTTTTCTTAAAACTAAATGAATATGCAACGATAAGATATTTTTCTAACAGTAAAATAAAATAAATAAAAATTTGAGTCATTTACTTTTAAATTTGCTCATTACTTATTTACTTTTCAACGTATATATTTTCTTCTAAGATTTTATTTTAAAATTTTATTCCACAGTTGTTCCCGCTGCCGTCCCTAAGTCACCTCAACCTCAAGATGACTCCCATTTAGATCCTATGGAGAGAGCCATTCGCGCTCGTGTCAGAGAAGCGGAAGAACGCAAGAGACGCACTCTCGCCGCCTATGACATGGCCGCAAGAACTGGTGGTGCCGGACCCAAGACTGTCATACTCGAGGAATTCAAAGATCTCAAAGGTAAAATTTATTCCTAAATAGCCTATCTGAAGTACATTTTCATAGAAAAACACATATACAGTCAGGTGTTATCTCAAAATAGCCTTATCCCAAAAGAACCTTGATGATTTTACCTGTTTTACTTATTTAGTTCGAACTGGAAATAGCTTTTGACAATAACGTCTACATTAACTTTGTTTTGCACTCCCTCGCATAAATGTAAAGGACGATATTTATAATACTTTACTCTCTGCTGGTTATAACAAAAATCTCACGTTTTTTTTTCTGTAGCCTGTCTTCGTATTTGACTTTTCTTAAAGAGCCATTTCTAATAACAGTTTTTCCCATCTTTTTTTTCTTTTTGTCAGCTTGTAGTAATATATTGTATTGGTTAAGTTAGAAGTCCTTTCAACAAGGTTTTAGAAAATTCGAATATATTGAAATTCAGAAGAGTTAAAAAACCCTAGGTTATAATGGCAGGTCTTTTGTATTGAAACATATACACTGCTCTACAAAAGTTCAGTATTGCAGAAACAGTATATCATAGTTTTTTGAGGAAAAATGGGGTGGTAACATTACAAAAATGGGTTCTAATAAGGAATGTGTCCACCTCTAGCAGCAATATATTGGCGGCAGCGACGTTCCATGCTGTCAATTAAGTTGTCGGTCAGTGAAATGGGAAGCCACGACCAGACACGGAGTAATCCTTATTCAAACACATCTAACGACCTTTGGTGAACTGGTCATTCCATACCGTGACCCTCAAGATATTCTTCAGAAACCCGAGCTCGGTGCGGTCCCGCATTGTCGCCCAGAAGAAATCCAGGACCAATAGGAGCGGCATATGGACGGACATATTGATCAAGGATCCGTCTCGATATCTCACATCGGTCAAAATACCTCCATGGAACACATGCAGGTCAGTGTAACCACCGAGAGAGATCCCAATCCCAGCCCAAACCATTATTCCACCACTGTAACTGTGTCTTTCCGTAGTGTGGGATTGGTTGTATCTAGTGCGTTGTTCCCTCCAGATTAGCTGACGACCTGAATCACTGTCCAGTGTGAATGTGGACTCGTCTGCCAAGAAAACAGACGCCCATTGTTGACTGGTCCAGGAGACGTGTAGTCTTGCGCAACATAAACGCGTATCTCTGTGTCCTCGGATCAAGGAGACACAAACAAATGCTCGTCTTGCATACATACCTGTACTATGCAGGCGTCTGCGCACTGTGGTAGCTGAGATTCTTCTTCCTGTTGCTGCTAAATGATCTGCCATTCTTTTGAACATTTTTGTAAAGGCATCCTCAGCTCAGTAATGAATAACATTACTGAGCCTCTCCTTCAGGGGCCGAAAGAGCTAAATAACGGGCTCCGGCAGGTGTTGTAACTCTAGGTCTGCCTGGAATGTCTTCTAGATACAGAATCCTCGGATTCAAACTGATTCCATAGTTGGTGGACTACACTACGACCACATTGAGACGACTAGCAGCATTGACTAGCTTGTGACATTCCCATTTCCATCCATCCGATCGCCCGCCGTCTCAACGAATAGGGCAAAGAACTTCTCCTGTACATTGATAAACTCTCATGGATATTCTCCACGAAACTGTAATAACAACTGAAGGTTAAAACTCGTGAACAAAAATTACAATATTTGCATTTTTTCTCCAACTCATGCATAAGTATTTATTTCTATAAAAGAAAAGTGGTAGCTATTGTTTTTTCATATATTTTCTTAAACTTCGTTACTGTCATGCATATGAACTGTGAATTTAAACGTTACTGACATTTTTGTAACTGTGAGCATTGAAAAACATGCTGTTTCTTAACTTTTGGAGGCAGTGTATATAAAAGTGGAAACAGACATTGAGGTTGCCAATCTGACAGTTACAATGAAAGTATTCTGTTAAGTACAGTCAAGAAAGTCATTCAGCAGAAAAGTTAACTTGGACATACTCCAACTTTGGGTAGATGTTCTCCGAGTTTATTTTCATGTAAACAAATAAATTTCTAAGGATAAATAGATAAAATATTTCTACATCTTAATTAGGAATAATATGCTACATATATTACGGAAGATCTTAAAAATGCGAACCATATTTTTCCGAATATAAGCCGAAACGTTAGGTTTCTTGCAAAAATTCAAAGAAAATTATATTAACTACTAAAAGTGCAAAGAATTGGTCGCCTAAATTCGTATGAGAAGAGTTGAAAGTCAAGTGCTAATTCACCTTTATTTTTCATTGGATGATTTTCATTCGATTTAAATTTGCTTTTTATTCGATTAGAGTGAAACCATTATACGGGTAATATTGTCGCCCTCCCCGAATAATTCGTCTTTCTTAATTTTCCCAACTTTGAAAATCATCTGATGGCATATCACTGAGTCTCATTGTCATGACATCATTCGATGCTTTGGCAGTACTGTTGGGAATTTTCTATTGGTTTTCAGTTGGTTTTATAAGATCTCTAGCTGTCACAAAAATCCTTCCCCTTCCCCGAATCACTCTCGCTTTTACGAGCAAATGACAATTAGTCACTTCTGCTATTTGTAAAAGATGCTCGAGCCTCCCCCATCTCGGAAAAAAAAAAAAAAAAAAAAAAAAAAGACAACTACCTATTTTATCGAAAAGTCATATATTTTCCTGAGTAAAAGTAATAAGCTGAAGTTATCAATTAATTAATTATTAGCTGAAGTTATCGGTTGGCTTAGACGATAACTTCAGTTTCGTCTATAACAGCGTGCTATGGAGGAAATGAAGATAGTGTAATCAAAGAGCATAACAAATGCTAACAGATGCTAATGGTGAAATGAAGGATGGTGACACTGTCTAGGACTTCCTCCTAGCAAAGACACACGGAAATATACCATATTTATATGGGGAAATCAGTTAAAAATATTACATATTACAGACTTTAAAAACGTACAGTTCATAATATTAAGGAAAAAAAAACATGCATTCCTACAAATTATTTAAAATGTTTTATTTTTTATGATGGCACAGAAACATTAAGTAGCAGTATAAAATATAACAAAAGAATAAAGGAAGATGAGACTAGAAAAACTGCAGATTGAATACGAGCCAGAAATCAACTTGCCGCCAGTTATGTGACTTACATATGCACTTTTCTTGGCCACTGGTTGACTTCGTTGTCAACTTTTTATTCGTGTTCAGATTTCATTCTGGCTAGTGATGCTGAGAGTGCTTTGTTTACAAACAAGTTTCTCTATGCAGACAGCTTAGTGACGACGGTGCAGACGTTGTAAAAATACAAACTCGACAATTTGTTTCTTCGTGTAGACGGGCCTTAATGGATTATGATAGCAATAAAACATGACGTCTGTCACGTTTACTATCATAGTCTCTCTTCATTGGGGAAAACTCTTTCCAAGTTTCAGAAGAACTGCAGTGATAAATTAGGCAGTGAGTTTCAGTAAATCGGGTTGGCTGCTCATCGTAGGCCTGAACTCATACCGGAGGTGTTCCATCTCAACATGAAATTACCGACTTTTATTAATGAATGGAGGCTTATCAAGTTGATAAACGTATGGACTTGTGCCAAATAGTTCCCATAACACAGGTAACATAAATATATTAATAATAGTAAACTTGAAAATCCGCCGTTTGTCCTAGGGGAACTAAGGTACACTTCCCATTCTAAGAGAAAAATAGCACTACAGCACAGTTACGATCACCAAATTTCATAGTCAGCCAATTATACATAGACATGTAGTGTTCACTTAACATTCTCCACACAAACACGACTGATAGGTTTCAAAAGTGTGTAACGAGATCCATCACAATACATAATGTTTTCATTATTTTACATTTCATTAGTAATTTTCACCTTGTATGCAATTCACACTTAGTAATCAAATCAAACGATCCTGAAACTGATGCTAACGATGTTTCTTATATGTAAGGTGGCTTATAATTAAAGGTTCTACTTTCAAATGGTCATAAAGGGAAAACTACTGGACCAAATGTTATCAGACTTGGTAATTGTGTAAAGGAGGTCATGGAAATTTATTTCCCGCGAAAAAACTTCAAAAACTCGCCACCAGGGGGAAAATGGTGCTGTATGCAATATTATTAAACGAAATAAGGGTCGGAATCCAACTTAACCTTTTGTTACACGAGTATACCCTTAAGAAACATTGACCTAAGCAAAATTACCATTTAAAGGCGAAAAAAGTCGAGTGCGCCATCCGTGTAAACAACAAATTAGCAATTAGAAAATGTGAGATCGAAAATCACTCGCAAAAGTGTGCGCATTCCAGAAATCGTTTTCTTACAGACCGCTAATCTGTGATTTTTGAAGAATGAATTCGGCCCTAAGACATTAAGATATCGGTTTAAAACGTGTTTAGTCGTTTCTAAAACGAAATTGTTTGTGGGGTAAGGCAAAACCGCAATGGCTTGTAATTGACGGCAGGAAGAAGTAAATGATTTATACAAATAATCTAAACAATTGGGCGTAATTGAAAGATGAGCTACAACGACATGTCCGTAATATTCCTCCTGATATGCTAAGAATTGCTGTTGAGAATGCAGCAATACGATTTAACTTGCTTTTGGAAAATGGTGAACTCCACATTTAACATGCCTTGTAATACGTTAAACACATTTTACATTATTGTCTTCATGGCCTATTTAGTTTAACAACATTGCATACAGCGCCATTCCCCCCTCCCCGGTGGTGAGTTTTTGAACTTTTTTTTTTTTCCCCGCGGAAAACAAATTGCCATGACCGTCTTTACAAGATTACAAAGTTTGATAACATTTGGCCTAGTAGTTTTCCTTTTATGCCATTTCAAAGTGGAACTTCAATTATAATCACCCTGAATGTTCTCTTGGCTTATATACAACTATTCACCCCTGGTAATCAACTCAGACAATCCATGCTAACGTTGATAATGTTGTTTCGCAAATTGTAATTAATTGTGTTTTAAGGATTTTAATTTTAAATGTAGTTATTTGGATTTATATCCTTATATTGCTAGTTCTCACGCCTGA